GACACCAAAGCCACTGGCAATCCACTCCATCACTCCCATATTGGAAGGCACCACCGACGCCACCCTACACAACGCACCATTCATTCTGCCGATATTACAACCATTGTCGCATACGCACTTGACACCTGCATTTTCCGGGCATGCAACAACACCTACAAGCAAATCCGGGGGGCTGGGATTGGCTCCCAGCTCTCACCTGCCCTTTGCAACGTTGCCATCACTCTCATCGAACACTCCTGGCACCAGCTCCACAACAATCTCCTTCAACACACTGCACTCCACCTCACATACTACCGTTACGTGGACAACCGCTTCACAGTCCACAATGAACACTTCCTCTCACATCCCGCCATCCAGATCATCCAGACTCTCATCCACCACAACTTTTTCGGCGATCCCGTCGAATTGGAGACGGTGGACGACTTCCACCTTCTGGGTTTCAACATTGACCTCCAGCAACGCACCATCACCTACATACAACCCACCCAACCCTGGAAAATCAGGGACCACACCAGCGCCGGTAGCCAGCGCTTGGCTCTGTCCGGCTTAGCTTCCAGACTTCACTCCATCTATACATACACCTTTCCACCCACAACGCCACCGCTGCGGCTGAAGCCCTGGTCCACCTGTATGCCCAAAAAGGGCACGACCTGCACGCGTGCAGGCGGTTTTTGAGAAAAAGGTCCGTTTTCTTCACCGCTTGGACTGTGCGCCGATAACGGCCTTTTGTGTGTGTCACACCCTGGTTCTAAGGGTTTTCCAAAAAAAGCAGGGGCGTCAGGCTCGATACACCTACCTGACGCAACGAAGCTCTGGTGTATCGAGGGATGGGTGGACTGATCATCCACCTGTACCTGCTTCAACGGTTGAGCAAGCTGTTCCAAGCCTCCTTTCTTGATTCCATGGTGGTTCACGATCCTTCCCACAAACCATTTTCCTTCCGCATTGCAGCTGCTGACTGTCACTTTCTTTTGAGCGCTTTCGGAAACAATGTTAAACAATACTGTTGTGCCGACTCACTCGCCTTGCCGTTCCCTCACCTTCCTTCCCAACGTGGCAATTGAGTCTAACTGAAAACCAAGTTCGAAGTGTATTCATGTATTTAGTTTGCGTCTTTGAACTTGTTTGTCTTTTTCTTTATGTTTGTTTTTGGAAGTCAGGGCCCCAGGGCTCCTCGTGTTCATTAGGGTACTCCACCACTAAAAGTGTATCCTCACCTCAGCGGCACAAGCAAGCCTGTTTTTATCATTGGTTGGCGTGCTTCTGACACATCACCTGAGACACTTTGCCGCTTTGCCCTTTCAAGACCCGGACCCAGTGCCGGGGACTCTGCCAAGGCAGTTAGAAGAGCACCATAGGACCTCAGAAAGGATTGGCCGAGAAACTTGTGGAAACTCCTGAACAATACCACTGCCGGTTTGAATGGTTTGATGGAAGAGCGCAGCAAGCTGGCTAGTCTAAACATGGCCACCTGCAGACTACAATAGTCGTCAGAGTTGGTTTACGCGGCGGGGTCACAGTAAGCCCATGGCACCTCTTCATAAGGTGGGGTCCTTGGCGGTAGGCAAGTGGTCAGAACCTCTAGCAATACTTTCATTGGAACCAAAAAATGTGCAAGTTTCTTCCGTGTGCCAATACCTCAATACCTCATGCCAAGTACTCACAGTACTCGAAGTGAACTCAAGAGTCTCCAAACACGAGGGTATCCAGGCCCTGGACGCTGTGACCAGGTCGAACGGTTTTTCTGCTCCAAACTTGGCCTCTCACAGCGCACAGGTCTTGATCTAGTTTTTGCAGTGGAACACCACAGCGGGTCTGGTGCAAGCAAGGTACTGGAGATGCCAAGAACTGCTCCTTAGCTCCCAGCAGTTGAACAAAGCAGCGAATGTCACATGCCAAAGCAGCAGTGCCAGTGATGGTGCCAACTGGTCCTACTTGTATATAATTTGACGGTGTTCAGCTCGTGCTGAGCGGTCCACTGCTTTCGTGCATGCTATATTCACAATGCCCTCCACGCCAAGCGCCTCAAATTGTCTCAGAATGCAAATCAACCACCTTAGAACATGATTCACATTTGACCGTCGGATGCCTTGCAGTTCTGCTCAATCGCTCGTGCACAAACTGGGGATGCGTCTACGAAGGTGACGTGGCCTGAGTGCTTCCACGGTCTGGGTTTGGTTCAAGCATGAACACACACGTCAACCTGGTGGGCAGAACGAACAGCAACACAATTGTTGCCTTGATTCAACTCCATTCCAAGCCAAATCAATTCGGGTTCTTTGGGCTTGATTTTGATATGCCTCAGAAGTTTCCAGAATTCGGAAGCAATACCACTTCTCTTGAATTGTCTTCGTGCCGGACATGGCAACAATAGTGTGATTGCCTTTTCCTTTCAGACAAATCGAGGCAGCGTTTAGAACGCTAGAAAGGGTCGGAACCTTTTGTGGGAAACTGTGGCACCGCATTTTGACCTTGGGGCCAGGCCGGCACCACGGGAGGCTGACTCCAAACCCACAATCCCAGAGCCAGCGAACAAATCCAGGACGCGTGAGCCCTTGTCGAACCTTAAGAGCCCAAAGTTCAAAGCTCACCGGAACAAGCAATGCGACTCCAACGAGGTTGTTGTGTTATTTTGTGCTGGAGTCATTCTTGTTCAATTGTTGACTTGGCTGGATTGACCATGGGCGTTCTGCCAGCTTCCGAGCCCCCTTGTTTGTGTTTCTTCGTTCAACTCGCTGCATTCTCTTTGGGATCCGTACACATCACAAGCTCCAAGCATGGAGAAAAGAGCCTCACGCACCTGCTGCCAGGATCAACAGCTCAATGACTGGAGGAAGCTGCAATCAGACCAAGCATGAAACTGTCAAACGGCACAGGCGCATATGCCCAATTCTCACCGTGCAAACGCAATGATGCTCCTGGAAAGTGCTTTTGGGGGATTCACACCTCTGCTCTGAACAGCGGGGCACTTTTGGATCATCTCAATCAAATGGGTGAATCGGTGCATCCAAACCTGTGACATCATAGGCCGCAAGAACACCCCCGGGACCTGGGCGTTGCCGGGAGTGGTGAGTGTTCCTCCAAAGGTTAAGCTGGCATTGACAGGCATTGGCCGACACTCATGCCACATAGTCATGCCAATAATTCAACAGGAAAATGCATCCAATTAAGTTATTCATTTGGAAGAAAGAATTTGATTTCAGGAAAGCACGCAATACATACCAGGCAATTTTCCTAGCTAAACGGACACTGGATGTTGCATAATTGAATGGAGATCAAATATATTATATGTTGCCTTGCTTGATTTTGAAAGGACTATATAATTCAGACCCTGTATAGACACCCGCGATTCTTTGTAGAAATGACCACGTCCAAATCAATCAGACGTTTGTTTAAATCACAATTCATGGTATCAAACAAAATTATTGATTTAATATCTATATGCATTCTTTTAAACATATTTAATATTTGTAAAATCCAAATATGTAATAAGATTAGCCTTAACCTCATATACCGCCGATTCGAAAATATAGTATATTACTTAATGACATGTTTAATGCAAACGATCCATTTTTAACAAAACGATTTGTGAATAATTATATAATTGGAATTTACTAAATATGAAAGATAATATTGCATTTTAAAAAAACAAAGATTAATCCAGTTTCCGGTGCCCACCATCCACCTCATCGACCTGTCAGTGAAAAACAATAGCACCTACCGAAGGTTCTTGAAGCATTTTGAGGGAGAATAAACCTCTCAGCCTCTCAGTTCAAATTCCCTCTATCCTGGACCTTTGAGTGCCGATCCCGCACCTGAATCCCCAACGTAACACTGAATAACAAACAATTTCGGAAATACAGTAATCCAATCAGCATGTCAAGTCTGCAATGGCCATTTTGTCCGCGAAATGGTTGGGATACCACTGCCCACCGTCTCACTACACCCTTAACTTGTAAACAGAAAGCATCCGTGTTTCTTGTCTTGTTCTTTGTCTGCTCTGCTTTTTCGGAGGGGGCCTTTGTTTTTTTAAACTTTAGACATCAGGAACGTTTCACTAGCAATGACAGAGAAGAACCTTCTGCCCTTCTGCTCGATGCCGATCCAGCCTTGATGGACCTGCTTCGGTGCAAGCCACCGGTGACACGCACCCTGGGCCAACGGCGGCCAACCAACGGCGGCCAAGCGTAACCAATGCTTCGTCACCACACATGTCCGTGCTCAATCTGCTTGATGCCATGACCTCCTTTTCGTTTCAAGTCATTTGGCATCTTGTCTTAGAGGAGGCCAAACGCCAAACACAGATTAAATTATTGCTAGTCTTGCCCTTTGCATTTGCAAGTGTGCAAGAATACTTGGATCATGGCCAAAGGTACAAGAGTGAACGGACTTTCCGAGTAGCTAAAGAACCTACCGTAATCCACATAATCTTGGCCAATGATGCCACAAAAAAAGCAAGAGCGAGCGGTGCAAGCACACACGCACCGTGGTAAATTTACCAGGCTGCTCTGCAGTGAGACAAAAGGAACACGGCAAATCACCAGTGTGCTTTTGTCCCTGTTCCCATTTATATAGGGGAGCTTCGAAGCTCATTTCGTGATGTTCACTGGCAAATGGCTGATATGGCTGGGTTTCGTCCCTCAATGGAACTGTGGCTTCGGGGTGAGCTATTTAAGATATTGAAAGGTCCCCCAGTCTCTGTCCAATCCCTCTGTTCCCGTCAAGACCTCTCTGAGAAGTGTCTCCAGGTCTGAAAAATCAGGACAGTGTCGTATCACAATGTTCAGCCACATGAAGCTATTGATGATTATTCTTGTCGGTTTGGACGGCTACTGTTATCCGCAGGCCTTTGTTAGGCTTACACGCTCCAAGTCTGCAAACTTTGCCCATCTTTGCCCTCCAGTGTCCTCCCAAAAAATCCTAACATCCAATCGGCAGACAGAGAGCCTCAAGCTACCCAGTGGCAAATGGGAACAGGCTAATATATCTGTCTACAGCATCTATATCCAATGATGAGGGTCTTGGCTTCCAGCGCCTTCAGATAGATGTCCAATCGCCCAAGACAAGTAGGCCACATGCCGATCAATCTGCCTCTGCCCCTCAACAAGGCCCTGCCCCTGTTTGATGAGCTTCTCCTGGTGCCAGCATTATTACTCTTTTCAGTGCCGAGTCAATTACCCTCTACAAAATGAACTCAGCTAGGCTTCATGGGCCCCGTGCCAGCACAAATATGAATCAATCTATGGTTTCATGTTGTCTAAATGTCAGAATGCGAACTTGGCTTTTCTTCAACAGCACTTGGGCACGTCCCCCAAGTTGTGGACACAACAATGGAACCTTGTGGCGCCTTCTAAGCTCAAGTGTCCCCTTTTGGCATATTATATAACTATATATATATATATCCTCCTGGATGGAGGACATAGGAGGACTATATACATGAAGCAACTTTGGTGCACATGACTTTCCTCGCAAGTTGATTTCACACGTCAGAAACACTTTGGGAACGTAGCTGTGCCCAGGACAAAACCGTTGATGCCAGGTGACGGTCTGCTGACGAAGGGCAAACAAGTCGGTGGACTTTGCGGGACCATGCAGCTGTAAGCATCTCTCGACAAACTCGTCAACACCTCCGGTCGACACAGAGGTTGACGCACTCGGGCAGCAAGACAAGAAGATTCCTTTTAAGGAAGAGGTAGCTAGTAGCTTAAGTTAGCTACTAGATGCTCCTAGTAACAACTGGACGCAGGATAGCTCGCGCTCGCACAAATGATTTGGTTCTTAGATTCTTTGGGAAACTTAACTCAGATGGGACAAAACTTGACACAACGTGTTCATCCTGACAGAGCCAGGCCTACAGTGTGATCTCCATCAACATCAAGCGTGACGAACAAGGTCCAAGCATCCATCGCGCTGATTTCCATGGATTCAAAGAAAGCAACCACAGCTTCATCATTGAAGTTTTTCTCAAAATCATGGATTGTAACCTTTCCACGGCCATGTGAGTCCATTTTGTGAAAAAGGAATTCCACTTGCTCCCTTAGGTCTCTTCGAGTTTGCACCAAGGACAGAATTTGCATTTCGTGATCACGTTCTGCGGCTTTGATGGCACTGTTGCAAAACCTCGCGCGGCCAGATGCAGGCACCAAAGGAACAACGTCGGATGTGCTACAACAGGCGGACCAGTTGCTAAGCGTTGGGACCCACAAACGAGCATACAGTCGCATCCTTGCTTTCCAAGAAGCACACCAGTCATCACCTGCCAGGCTGCCATGTTCCGATAAAATGAAGCAACCGCTGCGGCAAAAACAAAAGCAAAACAGCAACAGCAAACACTCTTGATATGGGCAATAAGGAGGTGCCCGGAAAAAGTGGCCAGCACGTCCCTCCACACCATCTGAACTAGAGCTGGCTGTGTCGATCCCAGCATCGGCCATGCTCAGCCAAGCTGCATTGAGTACGGCAAACGAGCAGAAAGCCTGAAGCTTCATTCAGTACAAAGAGAAAAACACAACAAATATATAATTCACACTCGTAAGAAGTTAACCTGTATAAATCAATCGATTAAGAAATACGTCATTGTTGTTAGCATGCGCACTTCCTTCACAAATGAGGCGGTCCCTCAAACAATGGTGTTTGCAACTGTTGAATTTGCACCCGGGTTGGGCCATGTCATGGTATTCTATGGCTAGCTGACAGCCATGTTTGAAACCAACAGTGGTGAAACTAAAAGAGAGTAGAAAAATCCTGAAGCCGGGCCTACATCCAAAATGCCTGCTGCACAAAAACTTTGGGAAAAAAGAGCACCCGTGTGCTTCACCACAAAAAGAAAACACCATAAATCAAGGTTCAGGGGCTATGTAGAAGTTTAGGACCTGTGCCCAGAAATAGCCTTGCTCGGGAATAGTCTCCAATGCATCACCTGCGTCGCCCCAGGAATTTCCATTTGAAATTGACCTGAACAAAGTAGTGACGGACAAATACCTCAGCAACACAGTGCCAATGAGCAACCAGAAGCAGCAATAAAATGCTACTGCTACTTAGGAAATGCTGCAGGAGGTACGTGCATAATACACACTCTCCCTCTCTCTCTCTCTATCCCAAGTATGGTAGGCCTTATTATTTGCAAAAGTTGGGAACAGTAGGTTGACTCCCAGGCAACACTTGCCATATAGCATCCTCATGCACTGGGCTACACCTCATGGCCCTATCCCAACTGATGCCACATGCCCACCGGATGGTGACCACGGGTTTGTGGTCAACAAACTGGAGGCATTCGGAGGCTTGCGTCGACATACCATCGACTAAACTAAACAGCCACAGAGCTCCAGGACATTCAGCCCCCTGGTGAATCGTCCTATCCAACAGACTTTGTAGCAGTGTTCTTTTAAAAACACAAGTTTCCGATGCAATAGAAGGGATGTCCCAACTCTTTGTGAATTACGGTGCAGCTGCTTGGGTCACCCTTCATCCAAAATATATAGATCAAAATAGTGTGAGTGACATGATGTAAAAAAATGCTTCTCCGTGCGCCGACTTCGATGCACAATCACGAGCAAAAGTCGCGAACCTCGACATGTTAAAATTGTTATGCCGTGACACCCAAGCCAAAGTGGGCAAGAAAACCACACTCCCAGACTTGGGGCTGGCTGCGAGTCTTTTCACTGCCCTGTTTGTCCTGTTATGTCCTGTGGCTTAGAACGGTGCAGGACATTCCCCTTCTCAATTTTCTTCGAAGGGACTCCACAGGCAGGCATCCCATGTATATCTTTATGTAACTATCTCATGAACCTCTCATATATATATATATATTTTTGTAAAACTCTCTCATATATCCGTGTTTGTTGTGTGTGTGCGCGTGTGTGCTCGAACTTTCTCCTCAATATTTGATGATACAAGGTTTCTTCATGTTTCTTGAACAGCTTGCACAGAACCCATGTCGGCTGTCACTACTTCTGCTCAGAAGAGATCAGCTTCAACCAACGGCGTTCCTATAATTACCTGACACCTGACTGCCGCTACAGTACACTGTGTGCGTTTGGTCCATGAGCCGGGGAGAACCAAAACAAACTACTTGGGAACGACGCCACCTGGCGCCTGGTGTTTTCGTGTTTTCTCGATTCTTCTCCCCAGTCAGGCATGTCGTCCCTGAGCCAATTTCGGCATGCATGCGCGCGTAAGGTGCATGTACTCATGTGCGAAGTGTAAATGTCAACGTGCATGCAACGAACATTCACATATGGTCATATGGGTGCTAGAAAACAAATATGTCATTATCCCCAGCCCCCCCCCACCCCCCCATGTCATACCGTGCGCGTGGTAGCGTAGATCATGAAAAGAGGAAAAACGTGGTAGTGTAGATCATGAAAACACGAAAAACGCTAAAAAATAGCTAAAAATACCAGGCGCCCGCCAGCGACGTTGGCAACTACTTTATTACATACCAAGAATTACATACCAAAAATTCCATAGTCGCAACCTCCTGAAACAGAGCCGAGATGCAATGACCCAAAGAGCAAATCCAAGCGCCCGTCTAAGACATCTGGCGTCTGCGAGTGCTCCTTCAATTGGCCCAGAACTGTGTCAGTAAAGAGGATGGCCTTGGAGGATATGACCATATTGTTGATGAAATGCGTTCATACTGAGGTGGCGGCAAATATGTAGATGATCATAGCCAACAAGACCATAGACCAAACCAACGCCTAGCGCCATCAGCCAGTGGTCGACTTCAGCCCTCTTAGAAAACCAGGGCACAGGCTAACGTAGTATTGCAATGGCCGAAAAACTACATCTGCCCAGGTATATAATGAATAACCTTCCAGTTTGCATGCTTCTTCTAGGTCAGCATTCCACTTCTGCCCATATTCCCCAGCATATTGCACACTTTTGGATGCCTATGCAGAGTCCTGCGGGGTGGGCTGGCCTCAACCAATGGGAGTGAACTATGCAAAGGCCCGACAGCAGCAAGCACGATGCTCGTGCAAGTGAGCCCCTGGCCCTACACTGGCTTTCAGTCTACAGTGTTTACGGTGCATTTTACGATATTTTATGCACATCGATGTCGGCCTTCAGCGTGCCCACCAGGGATTGCACAAGTGTCCTTCACCGGGATCTCTCAGATGTTGAATCACAGGAAACTGGGCACATGTTGCAATAAAGGAGGATATTGGAGGTACTTATATACATAATCAAGGTCAACAGAAACTTCCAGACTGAGTCAGACAGTCAAACTCCGATCTGTCACCATGTAAACTCTTGCACTCTAAGAGAGAAAAAAGAACTAAGCAGCAAATGGGTTGGAAAAGTCATGTTGCGTCTCCAAGGTCCCTAGCTGCTGCAATCTGTCCTCAATGATCGGAAGAACTTCACCACACGCACCACTCGCACCACGCGGACAAGACGCCCAACTCGCAGCAAACGGAACACACCTTAGAGCACTGCAGCGGCATGCTCTGCAAACTCGTACGTCACTATTACCATGCACATCCCTGAATGGCACTGTGAAATGCAGTGGCAGTAAATGTGATCCGCATCTAATTTGCATGCAACAAGTCCAAATTTCAGCAGTGGGGCTGGCCGCAGGGTCCCAGCCAGTCTTGTGTAACCAAGGATCGCAGGTTTGTGTTTGTTCCACCCACTGTCTCGGCGCTGCTCACAAAGTCAAGGATCAACTCCAGCCATGATGAGATGACCACCTTTTGCAAAGGCCGTGAAGCTACCCTCCACACACTCAAGAATACGTCTCGCCAAACGACGCGCGAGGCAAATGTGCTTTCAAAAAGAAAGTATATCACTTACATGTGCGCCACATGGACTTACGATGCCGGCACTGTACCTCTTACAAGGGCCTCAGACATACTGACATGATCATGACGGTCTGGACTCTAGACATGCAAGAGGGGCATCAAAAACACCTTGCGTTTATCCAAGCTGTGTTTGTCTTGTCTTGAACACTCTTGGCTGTGTCTGCTGCAGCCTTCCTCTTCAAACATGGAACAGTGTTTCCCTTCGAATACTTTGGGTCTTCCCCAAGGATCGCTTCGTGGAAACTAAAAGGCTCCACTACATCGGATCAATGCAACCAAAGCTGCAAAGACATCCAGCCAATTCCAAGCCTTGGATAAGAATCAGGAAAATCCTTACTGTATACAGACTCTTGCCAAACATGTTCCTAAAAAATGTTTCAAACCACGTACATCAGTCATGTGTACTTTATGTTGTGATCTCAGGGCTTGCCGATTCTGTTGCCGCTGTGGCTTGCCATTGCCCTTGAATTGATGTTGGCATTCCGTTGGTTGTGTTCTCGCCACTCGTGACTGGTGTTGTTGCTCTTGCTGTTGGTGCTGTCGGTATGCTAGCTGTTATATAATATAGTTGTTGCTATTTCATGTTACTGTTGCCTAGCACTTGAAGTAACCATTGTCGCCATTGTGATGTGAATATGGTCGTTGCAGTTTTTGACATTGGGCTATCATCAAGCTTGTTGTGGCTCTTTCCGTTTGCGCCATTGATGTCGCCAGTGCGGCTTGCCATTGGCAGTGCCATCGCAACAAGGGGCTCCTGCAGTTGGACAGGGGGGTGTCTACATCCCGGTGCTCTTGAATCACAAGCACCGGCACATCTGCGCGAAAGGTCCGTTTTCTCCAGCAGTCTCGATCGAAGCAGTAACATATGCAAAGGGGCTCGTTGCGGTGTCGTGCACATTTTGGTGATTGGATAGAGAAGTGAAACGTGAATGTGTCTGAATGTCTGAGAAAACTCCTTTTCGGACTCCGTTGGAGATTTTAGAGGGAGATGTTGAACAAAGTGTTGGTAGGGGTCCTGTAGGGATCTTGCACAGAGATCTTTAAAAAAAATCTTAAACACCTTTGCAAAAACACAACAATTCTGCGCGGACATGTTTACTGCAAGATCTTCACAGAAGGAGATCTTGTAGTACAAAGCCCTTGCAACGGTAATCGTGTGTCATGTTGCGTCATTGCACGCCCCGAATGAACGCCGTTTCACGATGTTTAGGGTGCCGGGACCTGCTGGAATTGCAAACGTCAAAAATGTTTTGCGCAAGTTTTGCTTACCCAATCCTGGGGAGGACAACGGGAATAACCGCTGAGAATGCTAATCCAGGAAGCCCAGTCTTGGGACGCCCAGACATACCGATAAAGGCCACATGCCACCAATCGCATGCCCGCCTCCACTGAGAAAATTGCTGCGTAAAAGGTGTTGAATCCCTGCAAAACGTCTTGTCCTGACATTCTGCAAAGCACTGCCCACAATGGGCACTCCACAAATACAAGCCGGCCGTCTAACGCGCATAATGCCACAGCCACAACAAACACCAAAAACAGGCTGCAACACTTCCCCAACCCAATGCCTGAGAAGCCGTCATCCGTTGCCTGCAGCTCCAAACTCACGCCAATGAGAACAGAGTTGCTCACCACCATGGTGAGGAAGAAAGCACCAAAATACGGCGCATCAACCTGTTGAAGTTGCAATAATATGTTGCAATCACTGAAAACATCCCTTGTGTTTCTTGGCGCGTCAACTTCTTTTTCCCTGCCCTACCCTGCTTCTACACACGCGTCAAAACTGAAGCACGGCGTTGGCGTAGCTAATCGCTTTCGGCTTTGGAACACTCTCTGTATGGCTGCATTGCAATACAATTGTCTTCAACCCCAGTTTTATCATACTGATGACGTCCGAGTATGGATTCATACACATGTTTTTGGAAAAATGCAACCAATTTTGCCTTGGCCGGCCGCATCTCTTCTTGCCATATTGCATCCTAAAAGCAGAATTCGGTTGGAGTGATACCTGCCGTAAAGGATCTGAGTCCGGTGCACGGATAATACGCCCTAAAAGACTAGCTCTTTTGCATGTCCACTTGTGTTCCCTTAGGTTTCCCAGCTGTACCATGTTTGCGTTTAAAACCCATCCATTCCTTTCGCCATTAGCGCTTGTATTTCTGGGCCGGCATATCTACGCATGCTTGCCTGGTCCCCAGCTTTGCTGACAAGCGGGGTGCGGAAATTAGCATCAAACCGCTGTCGCACCTGGTGAAGTCTTTGCAGCACTGGCCTAGAAAGTGCTATGACGCTCTAGGTCCTGTCTGGGCTGGCACAAGGGCCTCACAACTGTCCAAACAAGGACCCTTTGCATGTGCCAAATGCGCCTTGAACATCACTATGTGCATGAGCGTCGTTAAATTAGAATTAGAAGTGCGGACAACACTTCAGAAAACCCGGCCAGCTGCTTGCGAAGGCAGAAGCACTTCAGCCACTCCAGCGCTTGGAGTGAGCCTGCAAGGGAGAGGGCGGCACTTCCACGATTTCCATCCTGGCAACACAGTCAAGCAAATTACTCAAAGCTCAAGAAGCGCCAAGTCTATATAAGCGCTAAGAGGTTCCACGGCCTTACGCGCTTGTAAGGCTAAAATTCGCTGAGGTGGGCTGAGTTGCACTGATTTGGCTGTGAGGTTGAGGGCCAACGCCCGCTCAGCAATGTTTTCCCCAAGAAAGGCCAAGCTTCACCTCCCCGTCTCAAGCTGCGAGCAGGCTGAAACAGTGTTGGAAGAGGGTATGGCGGCACCACAGGGCAGCACAGCGCAGGCCTTGCGAGGACACCCTCATGCCCAGCGGGCTCATTTCCAGTAACATGGCCTGGGCGGCCCCCTGCTTTGAGTCTTTACAGCTTCAGAGTGGGCGGCTTCAAAGTCTTCATAAAGCGCTGCTCACTGTTCAACTTCTTACGTCGAAGCAGTGTGGGCTTTCCCTTTTCCCTTTTTTTTGCGATTTGCCTTTGCCAGACCCCTGCCACCAGGTGGTAAGCACATTCGCTGTCAAAGAAATTCTGGAGTTCACCGCAATGTGTCCCAACAAGGACCGCAGTGAAGCACGGGCACAGTTCTTTGCTGGAAGTTCTGAAAGGACGCATCGGATCACCCAGTGGAGCCTTGCCACCAGAAGCATCAGCGGGGGAGGGGCGGAAATGACTGTCCAAAGTGCAAGAGGTGTGAGGCACAGGGGGGGTATTCTTCCCGGAGCAAGGAGTGGTCAAGATGGGGAAGACTTTCTTGAGCTCATCCTCCTGGCTTCCACCTTCCTCCTCACCATCATCTAATTCATGGGGCCACGCCAATGAACTCTTTGCCTCAATGGAGAAGTGCCCCCGCATCAGCTCGACGGCCACATCATGCGGGATTCTAGTCTTGAAGCCTCGCCCTTCCCGCCCAGCCCAGAGCTCCGTCCATTGTGCTACCTCCTCGTGCACATGCCCCCCAGTCCTGACCCAATGCCAGAAAGTACCCACGACTGCAACCCAGATAGCCCCGTCAGGAATAGCCCATCTGCATCCAAGGGATGTTTCTTTTTGATCTCGAAGCCTCGCACCAGGAATCATCAAGGCACCCAAACGCCACGTTGCACCCGTTCCTTGATGAGTGCCACGGCACTTAGACCATGGCATGAAAACACCGGAGGGGTGCTCATCCTCACCCAGGGCCACCCTGGCAGGTCGCCCTGCCTTGAGCAACCAAAGCTGGAAGATGCTGCAAGTAAACAGCAGCATTACAAAGATCCAATCCTCTGCACATGAACCCCAACATTTTCATGAGCTCATGACCTCTTCGGCACTAAGGAAATATTTTGGATCGCATAGCTCCTAGCTCCATCAACTAGCCGCTGGAGGCCCTCAATAATTCTTTCACCCTAGTAATCACACACAAATAGAACAAAAGCTGAAAATCCAATAGACTTCCCGGCCATGCCACAATGTGCTCAATTCGTTTGCAAAATCGAGCCCACCAGGTGGAGTTGTTGGATTCCTCCACTTCACTGACGGTCTGCATATGCGCGAAGTCGCGCACCATTTTTGTGTGCACTTGCTGCGCGAGCTCGTATTCACTCAGCTCCTCCTACATTGAGGCCATAACGGTGGGAACACAATGCTTTGGCTCAATTTTCTTTCAGAATGTTCAAATCAAAGTTTCAGCCGTGCTCCTGCAATGAGGAGGTTGGAGCGCTGGATGCAATGTGGCTCATGTCGGGTGATTCCCAACTCATCTTCAATGTCTCACTGGAGGCAGCTTTAATGTCAAAGCCCTGACAACATGCATTGGGCTGGAGGAAACAGCTAAAGAATCAAGGACAAAAAAGTTTGTCGCTCTTTTAGTGTCACCGAAAGGCCTTTCGAGCAGGAGAAGGTACTGGCCGTGAGTCATAGCAGCTGGACAGCCAAAGATCTAGCCGCTCAAACAGTTCCTTCCGGTGATCCTGAGCGTATGGAGTTGCTTATATAATTCTCTTGAGTAGGCATAACGGTGAAGACGGTAAAAAAATGAATACTGCAAATAGATGTAAACAGAAGCTGATTCAAAGACTATAGATTCGATTCTATTCTATACTTCACCTTGTCTGAACAGCCGTTGCTCAATGAAAGTCCAACCTCATGATCAATCAGTGTTTCATAGCGGATGCTGACCAGCTTCTTTCAGAACCTTTTCAAGCTGCTCAGGCAGCGCACCGACATCATCCATGGCCTTAGAGCCTCTGTATATGCGGTGTGTTGTCTCTGGGAACGCTGGCAAGCCCTACCTTGACCTTGTTTCTGGGCTTGATGAGGTGAATCGATCTACTTTGAGCAAAGACTGCGAGAGCATGTTCAACTGAGCTGTTTAGGTAGCTTTAGGTGCGAATCTCACGCGGAAACATGTGCGTTGGAGAAGCTTGCTAAAGGTGGTTGATGGTCTCAAGCACGTTTTGGACAATCCTCCCCTGGAGTTAAGAACCATGGAGTCATGCAGCCGCAGCCAGCACACAAACTGTGTAGTTTCCCTGACCTCGCATCCATTCCTTTGGCCTGGACCTGCCTAAGGGAAAAACGCTCCGCAAGCACCGCTCGCTTCATTGTCTCATTCACGGGCATGTTCTGTATCCAACCGCATCTCTGAATTTAGACGCATGGCCCAGAGTGGCCTAAGCCATGAAGAAGGCCAAATAAGGAATCAAAAGCCTGTGCCTTCCACAAAAGAGCCAATTGAAAAACTGAGCACTCTCGACTATGTTCATCGTCTTTTTCGTCTTCAGTTTCGTCATGGCCAATCCGAAAACAGCTCGAATGTCCCTTCCGGCCAAGTTTGGCCGCTTTCGTTTGCCAAAGCCTGCCCCGATCCCGAAAGCGGCAGTGCCTCGCTGATGCTAGTGCCCAACAAGTGTCCCCTACTTGAAGCCCTCTGCCGAGGATGCCCCTCTCAGGATCGAAACATCACATAGGCTTCCCCGGCTCTGTCTCCTTGAGGACACACACAGGACCCCCAGGGAGTCCGCAGTGACTCAGGGCTGTTCCTGCGGATCCTCTTCGACTTTTCCCTTGGCATTGGCTGGAACTGCATGGAGGCCAGCATGAAGTAGAACCTTCGCTGCAACGGCTTGTCATGTGTCGTCAGTCGTCAGTCAGCCTGGGTAACTGTTTGAAACGTTCCTGAATCAATGAATCAAATCATTGCTTGAAAGAAATTGACATCTGTCACACAATCTTGTCTGGAGTCAGCCTTCATGCAGGCCAAGTCACAAAGAGCAGCGATGCCCCGATGATGGCAAGGATCATCATGCGATAGAAGACCAGCACCACCAAGGCATTCAATCCACCCAGCGCGTAGATCAAATGATGCTTCGTGATGAGAGCTTTTGCAACCTGCCGGCGTGACTTCACTTGCGTGCTGTGCACAAATAGCAGACACCACTTGCAGAAACGTTCTGGAAGCACATCTCAAATACCGGTTCGGCTGCCTGGCCTGTACCCTCAAATGGTTTGGCCGAGTGAGAAGCCCATACCACAAGCCGGAGAAAACGCAAACGAGGACCTGAAGTGCGAGCAAGTACTGCGACGCTTTGGGTGAACACCATTCAGGTCCCAAGCCCAGAACATGCGTCTTGCGGATGATAGTAAGGCACTTGTTACTAGTAGCGATGCACTTGTTACCAATAGCTTCTCGTTACTACTGGTAAGGCACTTGTTACTAGTAGTTTGGGTTCTATGATGTCTGCACCATACTAACAAGTTCACCGTGTTTCGTCAATTGACTTTAGCTGAAAGCTGTTCATCTGTTTCTGCTGACCTACTTACTTAACATGCCATGTCCGTCAAAGAAATGCGAAGAATCAGCAGCAACAATCCTAGGTACTAAGAGCTGTGGGTATACCACAATCGCCGTGAGTGCGAAGATCGCAAGGCAAACCTTGGACATCAATGAGACCAAGATTTGCATCAAAACAGGAGACTCTAGGCCTTGACGACCTTGACACGTGAAAACGACCCGCAGAACAGGTCACATGTACCTTGTGCAACTGCGGCAAGAGGTAGAATTGGTAAAGTAGCTGAATGGAGTCTGGGGTGGTAGTTATATTGCCGTGCCCGTGGATATGTGCATAACATGTATACGTGTACAAAAAAAAATATATATATATATATCTGTGTGTGTGTCAACCCCTGGGCCAAGGGTTCACCAGCACCACCTTTTCCACCTTCACCACCTTTTCCACCACGACAGCGAGTTTCACAGGCAGGGGCGTGCAGCATCTGTGGTCCACTGCACGCAACGAAGCTACGACCACAGATGGGAAGGGATCAAGGACGCTTGATCCTGTACCTGCCCAAATCTTTGACCAAGCTGTTACTCCACTTTTCCACTTTTTGCTTCCATGGTTCTTGCATGATACTTCCCCAAAACCCTAGTTTCTGCCGATGAGTTGCACCGCTCGTTCGCCACCGCTGAGCTCTGCAGTCACGCACCAACAACTTGTTCAACATTCAAGTGAACTGACTTTCTCGCCATACCGTTCCCTCACCATTTTCGACCTGGGAACTGAGTGTAACTGAATACAATTGTCAGAGTGTGTTTCGCTCAGCCGTCCCACTCGGGTGCTGAGTGTGATCCCCGTCATTGGGGCGCTGTCTCATCGTGCAAAGTAACTGACCTCACCACCTTTCACAGGAACTCCACTGGAAGTCACCTCCACGTCCACCGAATTAACTGCCACAACGGCCGCCGGGCCTAAACACGGGAACTGACAGTTTTGCAGCGCTTGCATTTTTCTGCATGATTTTGCATTTTCCGCATGATCCTGCATATGTACTCAAGCAATCTGACCTGAGTTTTCGACAGTTTAATTCGATTTGCATGAACACCCTACCACACCACATACTAACTTTCCACGTGACGACAACTCCTACTTCTCCACAACAACACATACCCGCTTTCCGCACAAGCGTTACGATTTCAATTTTGAATGATTACACCAGCTGCAGTCTCCGCTGCCGTGCCGCGCCGCCGCCGCCGCCGCCATTGCGAAGACTTTGCCACACAGCTGTCACGATTTTTTCAACAGCCCTCCACTGGACGCCTCATGCAGTATCCCTGGCCATACTCACATGCAACACCACCTCCACTGCCCACCGCACCAACACAGCCGACAACACATTTGCCACATTCACATACCGCACCAGCATTTCCTTATCCACAACATCCGGCATTTCCAGTACCACAACATCCAACATTTCCAGCTCCACAACCTATGTCAATACCAACTCCAACACCTTTTCACTCGGCACCAACAGCTGCAATGCCTTATGGCAATCCCTCCACATGGACCCTTGTACACCCTTCTCAGCCACAACCCACACAACCACAACCCACATATCAACCACCCGCACCTCCCCCATCCTACCTGGTGCAACAGTTACACCACTCACCACCTAGCGACCCCGCCACAGCCGCACCAATTCAACCACCTCCTGCACCTCAGCAAGTCCTTTCAGCTACCATCCCAACAGAACCCCAGTGGCACATGCCACAAGGGGTCTGGCAACCTTACTCCGCATTCCCCCCAGTTACGCAACCTTTGCACCAATCTCCATCACAACCGCCACAGTGGCCCCGGATCCTGCCACCGGAGCACCAGCCAACCCCGTTTCACCTGCCCAACCATCCCCAGCAGTCGCCGCCACCATCACAAGAGCCGCCGCAGGACCGACCACCACCGAAGCGGTCGCCATCGACATCGCCGTCGGCACAAACATCGCCACCACTCCACAGCCACGAGACATCACAGTTCCTCCTGGCGACACCGCTCGCCATCCACATCTACATATTCCTACTCCTCCACACATTCCCGCAGCCGCTCCAGGCAGCTGATCGACCTACGACCCAACACAGACGCTTCCACAGCAGACAATACCAACACTGACACCTCGAAATATCCACTTACACCAGTCGTCCGTCGACCACCCAACCGCTGGCGACCCACACAACACTTTCAGACCTTATCGCCCGAGGAGCAAATCCTCACTTGGCTCGACTTTCATGCTGACCAGCTCGACGCTTCCAACCGACCTCAACATCAATACCTGGCAAACCTCCTCTTCGACAGCAACATCACATACAAAGACATCACTGATTCCCGGCAATACACCTATGTCAAGTGGAATGAAGCCACCCAGCAATACGATCAATTCCAATACAACGCAATTTCACTACCTTTCCTCAGCACCAAAGCCTCCAGAACATCACCACCACCCGTTTCCCGCGCCACCTCCACTCACAGGGAAGTCGCCCACATCAACGCCGGACACACTGGCCCTGTTGGCAACACGACAAGGCCGTTTCCTACCCAGCACACTCCACTTTGCAAACTATCCCGGATTCTTTGCTCAAGGCGTCCGCATTACCCACAACCAACAACACGACCAAGGCGAATTTGCTCCAATTATCCACAATACCTGGCAACTCCACAAGAACACCCACTCCCTCATCGTCACACTCCTGGCATGGGGCGCCGCCACGAAATACACTTCTGGCGGCGAAGAGCAGGCTATGACCCTTCTACACGACCACCACGGAGCCGTCTTTCATCAGAAAGGCAGATGCTGGGTCATCCACCCCGACCATGCCATCGTCAAAGGACTGGCACGGTCCATCAACTCCACCCCACCGGACCTATTCCACATACCACTTCCCTGCAACCACCCATTACAACCTTCTGTTTCACCCAGCCACACTTTCGGCTTCGCCAACAGCCAAAAACAATACTGGCGCTTGCAAAGCCACTCCAAGCTTCGATGTTACATGGCACCCAAGCTTTGATGTTACATGACAACCAGCCTTTCAGACTTGGATGTTTTCAAGAGAACTGTCACTCTTCTGTTGCGACTTGTTTTCCACCGTTTCAAGCTGATTTTGAATTCATTTCGCATGCATTTTGGCCCGGTTTTGTGACTAATTCGCTTGCACGCTCCCTTGATGCTGCGCTGCCGTTGACCAGCCGCCGCGCAGCCGAGCCGCCGCGCTGCAGCTAAAAAGTGAGAAGAACTCCAACCACTCATCCTACAAGCATACCCAACTTATGACCAGCACAAACCCACCTCCTCACGAAGACACCAATGCATTACTACATCAAACGACAGTGGCACTTTCTCAGATTCACAACCTTCTACGACAAGCAACTGACATCATGGCACACCTTCACACTCGCTTTTTAC